CGGCTGGTACCGTCCGTCCACACGAATGCCCTTCTCATCCCAATCGAGCGACTTCATTATCCACTGCAGCGCAGCCGTAAACAACTTTGGCGAGATAGTGTCGCCTTGTCTCACGCCCTTCCCCAAAGGGATGGTGAGAGGTCGTTGGAAGAGTTGCACCGTTGCGGTGCAGCGACGATTGCAGTCGGCCAGCGTTCTTATGTAGGACGCTTCCACTCCTTGGTCGACTAATGCTGACAGGATCGCGTTCGTTTCTACACTGTCAAAAGCCTTCTCGTAGTCAACGAAGGTAAGAACAAGAGGCATTTGGAATTCTCGACACACTTCTATGACCATGGCGACTGACTGGATGTGGTCTAAGCAGCTGAATCCCTGACGAAATCCGGCTTGCTCGGTAGGTTGCGCTTCATCCAGTGATCGAGAGATGCGCGTAAGGATGATCTTGGTGAATAGCTTGTACAGAACGCTCAGCAAGCTAATTGGGCGGTAATTGCGAAGATCATCACGGTCTCCTTTCTTATGGAGGATAATCATGCGTGAGTTCCTCCACTGGTCTGGGATCCTTTTTTCCAAAAACACTATCCGATCATTGACTTGAATAACTTAACACTAGAGTTGAATCTGATACGGGGCCACATTTATTGGTACCGATTGCCGACGGAAATTGACTATTCTGGTAGGAGTTGAATTGGTTGATGAAGGTGAAGCGCCGATGACGGCCCCCGCTCGAGGGTAGTCCCGCTTTGTACGTCTCGGACGGGGTCGCTGAGATCGATTTATGTCTGAACGAATGAGAAGTTATCATAAATCAGATAGCAGTGGGAAAATATGCGAGCATAGCGTACTGCCATGAGCCACTACTAAAACAAGCAGTCGACGATCACACACTCACACCACTCGGCACGACGGCGTTAGAAAGCAACCACTAGTGCTGTCGCAGTTGCATTTGCATGAATGAAATGATGCAGTACAGCGATAACATTTCAAGCAGTCGCTACATAACGTCCAGGAGTAGGTTCATGAGCTGCTTGACTATTCCTCCTTTCTGCACGCACTAGACGCGAAGCGATCGCAATATTCGTGCATCGGTGGTTCGAATGACGCTGAAGCTACTTTTCAACCCAATTTGAGATTTAATTGTAATTTTAAATTCGAAGAGTTCTATCCATATACACCTAGAACTTCACCATGGGATGCCCTATCCTGAATTGTCCCTTTGCTTATAAAAAAAAACATAAATGTTTAAGAAGACAAACCGTAGCTGGCTGACGTGCCTTTTTCGATATCTACGAATTTTATGGCATTACGATCCTTCTCGACTAGATTATAGAACGAAACGCTTACTATGCACCTGTATTTATCCGTACTTGCACTCAAAAAGATCAGAGTTCGTTCGAGTTCGAGAGTTTCATTGTTTCATGAAACTTCTTTGTGATAGTTAAAGCTGCCTCAGACTTGGAGGGGT